TGTAGCAACCTAGTACACTGTCATATCTTGTCTGAATATTGAGAATAATCTTGGATATACGTTACACCCTATGTTCATGCTATGATTCCCTTCAGGAGTAGGATCTTCCGAGTTCTGCTTGAAGCAGCGTTTACACAAACAAATTGCATCAAATCAAGTGTGCCGGCGAGAGTACACTTCTACAAGAAACCCTTCAGTGATGATTACAGCGGGCTTATGGAATCCCTCTCAGTCGGAATCTACATGGTGCTGGCGCAGGAGGTACCCGAAAGTCGATCCTGGGCAAACCTTCACCTGCAGCATCCACAGCACAATACAATACTCACAAAAGGTCGAGTCTTCAACTCACCCATGCTTCAGGAATGGATATCTCGAACCTGTCAAAGATATGCTTACTGATGGGACCCCGCCAGGTCCAATTACACAAAGGACCCTGGGTGGATGCAGCAGCACGCGCACGGCCGCGGTTGTCAACGATGACCCTTCCACGACCTCGTCTAAGACGTGCCGTCTCCGCTACGTCCCTCAACCAAGTCGCGAATGCCTTCAACCCACGAACCGTCAGCCTGTGGAGGCGTCCGCGGGCTGCACGGGCCCGTTCTTGGAATAATTCGGAGAAGTTCCGCTGTCGGGCATCATAGCGCAACAGTCGTCTGATGGATCATGGTTCCGTGCCGGGCCGACCAGGGCCAGTGCGAGAACGATGAAAGACGCGCCGCTCCCCGAACGGATTTGTCAACTCGGCAGAAACATCCCAAGCTCCGGAAGGGATACCCTCTCTTTTCGGTCGGCTGAAGACGAGCGCTGGGCCGCCCACCGTTCCGAGTGGCCGCCGTTCGCCATGTGCTGCTGTGCAATCGGCAACGTCGCGGCAGTCGCTATTATTCGAGTCATTGTGCCTCCTCGTGGCTGGCATTCCCAAGCGCAAGATTGAGCGCCGGGTGATGTGCACACCATGGTACGCAAGCTGCCTTGTACCGCAGTAGGCCAGGATCCGGAAAATGGATGATGCCTGACCAAGCACTCAATCAGCTCAACGGAGCCACGTTCGGCGCAAACGCTCTGACAGGTCGGGCAGGGTGGATCGCGGTGCGACGTTGTTGCCATCGCCCTGTGCAAAAAACGCGGATATTGAACTGGCTAGAACGGCCAAAGGCCCCAGAGGCGGGCAGTTCGCGATTAACCCATGGCTAGTCATTGCATCCGGAGATAGCCGCGGAAGAAAGATGAAGAAACAAACACGCGAAAATGTTTCTGTGTGAGCATGCGGGCAGGTCGGCAAAAGACCGTCCATCTTTTTTTTTCCCCGTTTCCATTAAATGTTTCAACTCCCTGGCCTTGGGATCCGAGGAGCGGGGACGAACTCGTCCGCCGCGTGGTGGGCTGCATGAAACGGTGTACATCTGGGCAGACGCGATAAGGCATGACACAGGAAGTGGGATGGCCTGAATTCTATCTTTGAATACCGTATTGGGAGCTTGCGACCGTTGTCTCGGATTAGAGAGAGACGCATCTGCAGCTAATGCGGCATTGCGGACTCTACTTTTCGGATGGAAGCAGACGGCGGAAAGAAAAAGCAAGTTGCGAATAGGGGTGACCTGGCAGCGTTTGGCGAGGGGTGGTCGCGGAAGGTTGAAGAGGGAGAGGGAGGCCAAGGGACCGCGCCCAAGGATCAAGGGTCGTGGGTCGTGGTCGTGGGGATCACTGCTAGCGGGCTGCACGCGAGGAGATTCGAGATGGGGCTGCTTTCCCAGTTGGGAATCCAATGTTTCTCGCTTGGAGTGTGGGCTGGAAACGCGAGCATTTAGCCAAGACGAAGATGGCATGGGCTCGGTGAGGTTGACTCGCACCGAATATGGTCGTGTAACGAGCAACGAGGCAATAAGAGGGAGAGCAGTGACGATGGCGACAAGACAGAGAGAGAGGTTCAATGTGTCCGAGGCAGCCACGCAGCCACACGCGGTCAACGGCAGGCGGCCTCGCCGCGGGTGGACGGGAATCTGGAAAAGCTGGATCGGCAACGGAGGGGAAACGTTTGACGTCTGTTGGAAAGGCGGCGCGTTCGCAATGCGGCCTCCTTGCCCCCCTCGTGCGTAACCCCCCGTCTGCGGCAGAAGCCCTGGCTGGCTTCTATCGCTGAAACGGGGATTTCTGGTGCCACGGCTGGGCGCAACGGTTCCTGACGGCGCTGGTCGGGTTGGCGTCCTCTCGAGAATGGCATGCCAATTGAGAGGGACGGTCGCACGTCTCTGTCAGGAAGGTTTGCCAGGTCGTTGGACGCGGGCTGACAACCGGATTGCCGGGGCAGGGTTGATCGGGCTGGGTGGTGAGGCCTGCTTGGTCGAGGTGCGTGGGCGCGATCTGCTAGCTCAGGAACGGTTCCAAATGATGGTGGTGGGACTTGCATAGGAGGTGGGCGGTGCTGTTGTGCCACGGGAGCGACGTCTCTTGAGGGAGAGAACTTGCAAGACATGTCAGGTCAGGCAAGCTGTTTGCCGGGTTTCGGGGGCTTGGGTCGTTTGGTCGAGAGAGGAGGAGGAGAAATGCTCGTGTCTAGGAGATGATGAAATTGCTCTGCGAACGGGTTCGGAGGAATGGAGGTGAATAAGATAAGGTGATATTGTCGAGGTGCGTGCCCTATCAGAAGCAATCAAAGATATCGAGGCCCCAGAGCAGAATTCCAGGCATGGCGGGCGTGACGCTGTGCCGCGCCAGCGTCCAGCCCAGGTGTTAATGGAAGGAACTTGTCGCGCAGTATCCATAAGGTACGCAGTAATACTGTACCTATTCCTGGGTGAGGTCGGGTGCGTTGAGATTGAGAGGCGAGAGGGTGCCTTGTAGATTGTGCTAGTGCAGGTTCACGGACAATTTCCTGCAGGCCGTGTTTCGGTGCATCTTGAAAGCTGGTTTCTCTGCTTGTCAGTGGCTGCGACGGGCAAGCTTTCGTGGGATTTTGGTGCTGACTGCCGCGGCATAAATATGGATGATGGATGCAGGGCATCTGGGCATCCACCATGTTGATGGTTAGACGAGGGTGAGGGCGCTGTAAGGACAGGCTCTGTGACTCGAGTAGCAGCGCAGATCATGCTCGATGTTTGACATTGGGGAGTGTTGGGATGGGCGGTGGTGGAAAATAGCAGTGTTTAGGAAGTCGATAATGCGAACCTTGTTGCGTACCTTCTGCCTGGTGTAAGAGTATGCAAGTTTATGTAAGCCATTAATGCAACGACACATTCACTGGCAATGGAAGTGTTGCTGGCGATGTCCATCAAGTCTATTGCTGCTGCTGCTGCTGCTTCTGCTTCTGCTGGAGGCAACAGCACAGACAAGTGACCTCCGGTCCTTGAATCCTTCCTGCCTGCCATTCACGTCCGTTTCGGTGACTCGGTGTCGGTGTCGTGTCAGTGTCACTTTCCGTCCTTGCTCCCCAGATTGAGTGGCTTGACAGGCGCACCTGTGCTTTTTTTCCTTGCTGCCCGTGCGTGCCCTTCCATGGTCAATGTGCCCTTGGAAGGCCCATTTCCCGGAAGCCCCTCCACTGAATTTTCCATTGTTGGGCAGCTGCTCCTCACGTAGACAAGTATCGCGAGTCCAGACCTGCGCCTCGTCTTGATGCGTGGCATTTTGCAGTGTCCTCCCAACGACCGGCCGCCCAGCTGATCAACACTCAATCAACTGGAAGTCTCGGGTTATTCCACCACCTCGCACAGCAGCAGGCACCGCGTGCGCTCTTGTGCTCACTTCACTTTCTTCTTCCCGTGCGCGGCAGACCTCTAGAAAAACAATTACAAGGCACACCCCTGACAGTCACAGCATCCACTGTCGGGGAACCACCTGGCACTGACAAACACAGGGTGCTGGACCCCTGCAGTACATCTCAAATCCACTGGACCCGACTCCAACAGGCCAGGTCCCCCAATCCAATTGGATCCCTTCCCATCCCATCCACGTCCCATCCCAATCCCAATCAGCCATTCAATCCACGTCAAGCAACGCGCACCAGCACCAAGACTGCCACCAAGCAAGACCAGCACCAGCACCAGTCCTCGCTCGCTCGCTCGCACCAGCCAGAGAAACCGCACTACGAAGCTCATTTTTCATTCCCCTACGTCCAGACTCCTACGCTGGCAGGCATACTCATTGCCAGTCAGGACCCCCGTCATCTCTCACTTCCCTTCATCTTTCCCACCACCCCCGGGCCTCTTTTTCCTGCTTGGCTTTTCTCTCCTCTCGCCGTCTTCCCTCTCTCTGGTAGCCTTCGCTGCAATTTTACGTTTCTGCGGCCCTTGAGACGTGGAAGATCGAATATCGAGCTCTAAGACGCACACATTGCCGTATTCTATGGCCTTCCACTCGACTCGCATTCGACACCTTAGCGGGCTGATACGACCGCTCCAAGAGGTCTAGCACAAATATCGAGCGCACCGGAATCACTTCAACCGAACCTGCTGCAGTACCCTGCGACCTGCATCCAACTATATACATACATAATACGAGCGCCGGGTACAGACCACGCGGTATCCATCCGTACACTACGAATTCACTGCGCATCGCTGCTGGTCATTTTACTACGCCACCACAGCTCAGAAAACCCTTGGACAAGAAGTCAATCTCGCTCCAGACGTGCCCTGCCGTCTCTCAATCTCTCAAGAGTCGACGACCTCAACTGCCGCTGCGCCGTATCCATTCTTTCCCAAGGTCCACCGCCTACCCTACCCAGCTCCATCTCTGGGTCGCTCCAGCCTCTCGCTCTCCGCTGTCGACGTCGCCCACGCCCATCCGCATCCACTGCAACTGGGCCCTGTACGACTCCCCTTGTTCTGTCCAACGACACACGCCACGGGGCGAACCGCACTGCCTTGTCACGCGTTCGTCTGGCTGCCCGCTGGCGAATCCTGCAAACCTGGTCTTTCAAACAGACCCATTGACCCTCAACTTTACCTTCTACACGTACATCCCGTCGATTGATGACACAAGTTGTTCATCCCGCGCCCTTCACCATGCCTACTTCCAAGCGATTCGAGCTTCCCAAGCTCGACTTCAAGTTCGGCTCCCTGACCGACGGAACCGACATTCCCCCGCCGCTTCCCAGCCCCGTCCAGGAGGTCCCCACGCCTCCCCAGACCCCGCGTGCGAGCGAAACCAAGGACTCCGAACCCGCCGTTAAGGAAAAGGTCAATGACAAGACGAATGGCCACGGCCCGGCAGTGCCAAACTCGCCGGCCACCACCAATGGTACGAGAGGATTCTCAGATGACACGCCACTTTCTCCAGCAGTTTCAAGCAGACAGGGCAGCATTCGTCGTCTCTTCAGCCGAACATTACTGAACCAAGCATATGCAGAGGGCGAATCGCAAGCGAACGGTGGCGCCCCCCGCCCCATGAGCCGTAGTCAGGGCAGCATTGTCGACGAGAAGAAGGCGAAGCGCAGCAGCGGGTGGTTCAAGAGACTCAGGTCCCACGATTCCTCACCGCCCCAAAAACGCTCCAGCGTCGTTTACGAGCACCCCAACAACAGCCAGACGCAGAGCCAAAGTCGGCCCCAGAGCAGGCCCCAAGTTCAGGGCCCCCCGCCACCCATGATTCCCGAGCTCAGCGCACTCGACACCAAGCTCGACGTCTCGGACGGAGGCAGCCTGGGTTCTGACCTGTTCAAGAACATTAAGTAATTACTGACTCGGAGTGGACGCGACTCCAGACCAGTCAGGAACGATATATACAGAGTTACCGGTTTCTGGAGCTGGCAACCGGTGCTTTGTCGGACACGAACACACGTATATGCGCCGACGAACGAACGACCGAATCCGAGCGGACACACCAATACGATTTTCCTAGCGTTTACCTAAGTTGAATTCTTTTCGAGTCAGAGCTGGGGACGGAGATGGCGGTGGAGGAGACGAGATAGTATGTGAGACGGAGGCAAGACTGGAAGAAGTTATGCAAGATACCCAGCTCGCACCGCGGGCTCATTCTGACATACGATGTTTACACTTTCTTTGTTATGTTTGATTTTCCGCTTCATCTTATTGCGCTGTTGGAACACACTGGCACCACGACCACCATTTTTCAAACCCCCCATCCTGTTTTTCCTTGCTGTACGACTTATCTTCTGGTGTACATTTTGAGCCGGTGGTTTGGTGTGAGGACTGCCGGTTGAAAAGGGGCCGATTTCAGACTATGAACCAGGCATCAAAATAATGCATCAAATTGGAGCAGTCAGAGCGAAGGACTGAGGAGGCGGATTGAATCTGGGGAGGACACAGACGAAGAAGGGGCGTCTCAACTACTACGGCTGGGAGCGTCATCGGGTTTGAGAGCTCGAAACGAGTGTTCAGATGCTGCTGGTGTCTGTGGCAACTGCAGCTGCAATAAAATCTACATTTTACGGCCTACAAGCAGTTTCACGATCAGCTTTGCTGCTGGTTACATCTTGATTCCCGAGGGTTGTCCTTGGAAGCACGCAATCCGATCTGGATCACAGGATCTTGTGTTCAACGCCAGGTATCATGGCACAAGAAAGACTCATCAACACCGATCGTCAAAGCTTACATCAACTCATGTTCACAGCAGCAATTGCGAAGAAGAGGACACAACGAACCCCGCGTCATCCGAAGGACGCATTGACCCCTTGAATGCATCATGTGGCGAGAGGCTTGCAGCTGCAGGGCGATTTAGCGCAGAAATTCTCTGCGTGGCAAGTCGTTGGAGATGCTGCGGGTGCTGCTGTCGCTGCCGCCGGCGCCAGGACAAGTCACTCTGCAGCTGAGCAGCCCGGTCCAGTCGCCGTCCGGAATGGCGCCAACTTCGGACGCCATGTCAGGCCTTACCCGAACCAGGACGTCCGGAGCGTGCACCGCGGCGAGGAACTGTCACTGCCGGCGCCGGTCATTTTGCCGCCTCAGTGAGCTGCAGCCCACCACCCACCTGGTTCCGTGAGGTGGGAGCTTGAGCCAATGGCGGAAACAACGGGTCCCTTTCCCTCCTCCGCGCTAGCCAGTAGCTGATTCGTGCACCGGTCGCACCTGGGTAAGGTACCGATACCAACCCAAACAAACGTCATTGTGAGTTCGCCAGAGGTTCGGCCGGCCGGGTCCAGTTACCGAGCTAGTGCCGTGCGCCAGGAGCTTTTTTTGGAGCAAGCAATCCTTCCAAACCTCGATAGTTGACGTCGTCAACGTTTTGACAGCTGTCACTGCACACCTTGTTTTCTCTTTTCGCCTCCACAACTGACAACCATGGCGACGGGCTTGCGAACGACGACGACGCTCCGTCCCCTGGCGTCTGCGCTGCGGCCGGCGCAATATCTGCCCCGCGTCGCACGACGATACAAGTCTGGCCCGTATGGCTACACCCAGGCCAAGGCACTGGTCTTCTCGAAAGAGGGCGAGCCCCGCGATGTCCTGCAGTACGGACGCGCCAATTCATGCGAAGCCTCGGTAATTGAGCTGACGAGCTGCACAGATTGCACACCCACTCCATCTCCCCGTCGATCCCCTCCTCCGCCGTCCTCCTCCGCGCCCTCGCCGCCCCGATCAACCCCGCCGACATCAACACCGTCCAGGGCACATACGGCTCCAAGCCCCCCTTCACGTCCCTGATCGGCACCCCCGAGCCCGCCGCGATCCCCGGCAACGAGGGCGTCTTCGAGGTCGTCTCCGTGGGGTCCAAGGACCTCGGCCTGCAGCGCGGCGACTGGGTCATCCCCGCGGCGTCCTCCTTCGGCACATGGCGCACCCACGCCGTCGCGGACGCCAAGGATGTGATGAAGGTCTCGAAGGAGGGCTTAACGCCCACGCAGGTCGCGACCGTCAGCGTCAACCCTTGCACTGCGTACCGCATCCTCCGCACCTACGGCCCCGGCGAGATCAAGGCGGGCACCAACGGGGGCATGAATGCGCTTGAGCCGGGCCGCGGCGGCTGGTTTATTCAAAACGGAGCCAACAGCGGTGTCGGCAGGGCTGCGATTCAGCTTGGAAAGCTCTGGGGGCTGAGGAGCATCAATGTCGTTAGAGAGCGGGAGACGGAGGCGGAGACGGAGACGCTGAAGGAGGAGCTCAGCGACCTCGGCGCCACGGCCGTGGTTACGGAGAAGGAGTTTCTGGCGAGGGAGTGGAGGGATCAGCTCAAGGAGCTGACGAGGGGCGGCCGCGAGCCCGTCGGCTTGGGACTGAACTGCGTCGGCGGCAAGTCGGCGACGGCCATCGCGAGGAGTCTCGGCGAGAGCGGCACGATGGTGAGCTACGGCGGCATGGCGAAGCAGCCCGTCATGCTCCCCACCGGGCTCCTCATCTTCAAGGACCTTAGGTTTGTGGGATTCTGGCTTAGCAAGTGGAACGAGCGGGATCCCCAGGGGCGCAAGTTTGCGATTGAGGACGTGCTGGGCATGATTCGCGAGGGCAGGTTCAAGGACGTGCCGGTGGAGGAGGTGCCGTGGAGCTGGGAGACGGAGGCGGAGAGCCTGAAGGAGGCTGTCCAGGGGGGGCTTGGTGGGTTCAGGAAGGGCAAGGGTGTTTTTGTCTTTGGTGAGACATGATGGGATGTGTATATGTAGGATATCATGAGGTGGTGTAGATGACTCCCAATGACTAGAGATTCGTTTGAACATGAGCTATGATTGTTTAGTAGTTGATATGCCTGGCAGCGAATATTAGGAGCGGTATCTGAGGGAAAGGAGATAGAAGAGTTCCTATTTAAGAATTAGGTCAATCATGGCAGGCTTGGTCTGGCCTTCAAGATTAGATTCATGAAACGTCTGCCATGGTTCTTGTTTCAGACTACCAGGCTCTGGTCGGCCTCTGGCTACATTTCGGGAACGCAGAACACGTACATGCCTACTTAATATAGGTTACTGTCCTAATGTTGCTCATCTTTTTCTTGCGCCAATTGCAGACCAGAAAGTCGTCCCGGATTGTTTCGGAGTTCAACGAGGCAGGGGTCAATAATGCGCAAATTCGAACTGCCCAAGACAGTAAACAGCCTTACTTGGCCTTTTACCTTTCAAGTCACGCGGCATCATCCGCGTCTGCTTGTTCTGTATGGAATACTACAAAGAAGGCATGCATAATTCTGGTAAATATGGTGCAGTATGAGTTTCGTTTGCGTGATGATTGCCTCGAGGCCCCTTTATAGGCTCCATTCCTGGAGGACTTGCGGTCGTTTAGTTGGTTACTGACATTGCCAGGCTGAACAATTACTTGGAAATGATTGGTGATAGACGTTGCCCTTGCTAGATAGGTTGTGAAACTTCCTTAATCTAGGACTTAAGAGACAACCCAAAACCCTCCTTGCTCTTGACTCTCTGACAACCTCTGCGTCCAGTCGTAGCTGTTTCATTTGTGATACGAAGGAACCATTCTGTGGCTAGGAGAGACCGAAAGACTGACGGCACATTTCTGACGAAAGAAAAACATAGCAATGGAAATCATTGAGAGGTATTTAAAGCGTGATTTCGATTATCTTTACGCAGGGCCAATGATCGAGACCTCGGCACAGAATAATGTACTCGTTTGCGCTAGCGACTTTGGGGTCTGAGAGGCACACCTGATGCTGTCGCCCAAACAAGAAGGGTACGCGGGAAACTCATATGTGCGCGTATACGTGGACAACCGTCGTAGTCGTTTGTCTCTCCTGGTTGCTTATTTGGATGCGTAGAGACCATAGCAGACGTCAGCAGTTTTCATCGATCCAAGTTTATGATTTACATAGCTTGGCGGCCAGTCCGAAATGGAATTTTGATGACAGAATCGTATGAGCCCTTGACTAAGTGTTGTACACGAAAACAAAACCACATGGGCGCTTATTTCGTTGCTGGAGAACTTAAACCACTGGTAGCTCAAGCCTTTCAATATCGGGAGACTTGCTGTGACATCTTACGTGCTGTCTGTGGATTTCGAGAGATAAATATGTCAGTCAATTCACCCAGGCCTCTTTGCCCCAATAACAATCAGAGCGGAGAGTGCGATGACAATGTATTCGTGAACTGTTTTGGTCCTCACGATCGTTACTGGCAGCCACACACGGAAAGAAGAAGAACGTGGACGTCTGAGATGACAAAGACTCACTACTCAACTGTCATCTTTCTATTGTTCACTGTCCTTTCTATTGTATTTGTTCTGAACAATATCGCGAAAACGGTCAACTTGCCAGCCGTTCCCTTGAGACTGGAGGTCAATATGGACAGCGTGTATATTAACAGATGTTTCCACTCCATCTCGACTATGAACAAAAATAGAGTCATCCAATCCCATTCGGTTATTCAGGAGATCGACGGCAACATACTTAAGTTTAGCCAATGGATAGGCCCTTCTACTAAGTGAGCCGTGTACAGAAGCCCGTAAACACACCATTACTTTCCGTTTCTGATGACGGGGAATGCGAAGCTACTTTCATTTTCTTATTGCAAATTCAAGTATTGACCCGACTCGGTCGCTGCGTAATTCCCCCACGATGGAAGCTAGATTATCGTCGTACCTCTGAAGGATTACCAGAATGTCACAACGCATAATCAATAGATAGTAATGACAGTTGAGAACGATTTCAAAAGACCGTATTTCCCAGAAAGCTGAACTCAAAACATCATGGATTTGACGGCAAACTCTGCCCTTGGAGGTGAATCATTTTGCCGTTCCCTAACACCGATCACACCATCGTTTACATCGCCTGGTTGGGCTTTGCACGATCGCTCTGCTTATCTTAAATACTGCTCCCGGGCTTCGATTAAATTACTTGAAGAGCTTGATTACGCATTTAGCGTCTTCCTTGGTTTTGGCTGTACATGCCTTGAGATATAAATATTCGATACACGGCAGTGGCTGTTTCTACTCTACAACGACAAATTCATCGATAAAGACGAGATCGGCGTCTAAAGATTTGCTCGGCTGGGTCTAGAACCAGAAGCTAAAATGCCCACGGAGAAAAGAGTGGCCAACGTCAAGCCTTTGTAGTTCGTTTCGCTGTTATCCAGCCTTGTCGCTGTGGTATTCATTAGTATCGGTCTACTAGTGGTTCCGTCCAAGAAAACAACCTGCCCTGGCCGTCGCAACCAGCCGGTCGCGACGGGATCATCCGGGACGTGACGTATCGATTGCTCACAAGACCAACGGCAAATTTAGTCCCTAGCATTCCTGACAGCATTGCTGGCAGCACTTAAGACGAGTTCCTGCAGTATCGTCAATACGGACCCTTTCGCTTGCTAGAGGTTTAGTATAAAAAGATGACGAGGCGTCAATTACTTGGCTTCATCAATAACGAGGTCACCTGTTTTTTCATCTCAATCTTAAGAAACTATGGATATCCTTGACGAGTCTTGAAGCGTCTAATTAAAAGGGCGACGAGAGAAATACTTGGACAGCAAGGGACAGTCGCAATTGGGTCTCTCCGAGGGGTGATCGAATTCTATGGTGTTCTCAGCAGCGCCGGTGGTGCCGAAGATCGCGGTAGCTTGGCTGGTCATGGTGTATCAGGAGAGAAATTCCCGTTGTTGTCTGCTGGTGAAACAGGATCAGAATATGAGCACGTATAATAATAGACTGCTGAGAATGATGGACGATGATCTTGACATTCAACGCACACACTAGGGGAGAAACTCTGAGGACAATGAATTCTCGAACCGGGGCTTACGACATGTAAAACATTGGTACCTCTCGCTATTGGTCTCCAGCAGAGATTGCCACACCATTTCTGTTGGCTTGCAGCCACCGTATCATGCAATCCTCACTGAATATATACACCGAATTCTGTAGGCAAACACAATTCTTTCGAGTCCACGCGAGGCACGTCCAATGGATGATAAATTCGTATATATAGACCAAAGATAGGTTATATAGACCAAAGATAGGTAAGCTGTTTTGATTACAGAATTAAGAAATGGCACCAACGAAAAATTCCTCGTCGACAAGAAATATGTAATGCGACCAGGAGATGTACCGCCACTCACGACCCAGCCCCTATTATTCAGTAGTCAGAGTCAGAGTCAGAGTCAGAGCCCTCAGAACTGGACTGAAAACCACTGAATTCGGCGTCATCTTCACCCTCGTCCTCGGATTCGGCCTCATGTCTCACCCGCGACTTAAAACGGTCGATGTCTCGTTGGTGATGATCAAACTCTGCAAACAGCTGCCGGCTCCCCCCGGAAAAGCCATCATCACCATCGCTGAGCTCTATCACCTCCTGCGGTGGTGAGGATGAAGGGCGTTCCGTCTCCGAGCTGTCGGTATCCTCTGTGGCTTCGGGGGGCGTTTCTGAATTCTCATCAGGCGAGGCATCGCCGCCCTCGTCTTCCTCTTCTTCATCGTCTGCCTCGTACTCATCGTCTTCCTCGCTATTACCCTCCTTGGTGGTATCCTGCTGCTCGCTCTCAGCCTCTTTCTTCACTAATCATGTTGTCAGCGTTCCCCGGCCTTTCTCAGCGCGTCTTCCCACATACCACACCGCGCTTCATATTCAGCTTTGTGAGCCCTGTTGGCCCGCAAACTGGCGTCGAGCTCCAAGTCTTTCCCGTTGTCCATGCCGAGGACATGCGGGTGCCATTCGTTTCCGGTGTCCTCATGGAGACAGCCTACTGTGACCAGTCTTCCTTTAGCCTCGTGAACCTCAGCCCAGTCACAAGTCATTATGATGTTCGGGACGGGTCCGAGAGCCTCTCGCGGAGTCCTTTTATGGCCACCTGCTGCCAGCACGTCTTTGACCCAGTCACTGGGCGTGAGGCAATCGTCGTTGGCGAAGTAATATAGCTTTGCCTTCTTCAGAGCCACAATCAGCAGGTCCTTTCGAAAACCTTCGACTTCGCCAGCGATGCGTTTCGAGACTCTATCACGACAGTCTTGCACAAGCCGTGCCAACGTGTAATCCAGGCCGTAGTCCAGGAACTTCTGGTATGGGTCCTGGAATTGGTTGGCGCGTTCGTAGTTCTCCCGGAGACACTCCACGATGCGCCGAAAGTCCCACGCTTCATCGGGGCTCTGATTCTCAATACTCCACAATGCGACTTTCTTGAAGTAGTCGCTCCAGGGGCTAGCAGGCTGGGACGGACGGAGGGTTCCGCGGAGGCCGATCATTCTCGTCAACCACTGCTCCTTGATCGCATGCTCCTCGTTGAAGGCTTCGTACAAGGCCGTGAGAGGGATCGCCTGAGGGCAGTCATAACGGTCATGGTATTCCGCATCGCCGCAGATGTGTGGGTCGTTGTTGCCGCCATAACGCCACGGCGACTCGCGGGAGAACCAGTTACTGCTGGGAAGATAGCAGCCGAGCAAGTTTCCGGCATCGATGTTACGAAGACGGCGGATAAAGACTGGGTAGCTCGCCTCCTGATTAACAGGAAGTATCAGCTCGTCGAACTTGATCTTGATATCAGAGGCCTCCTTGGGGTGACCGCCTGTTTCAAGACATTGCTGTGTCCGGCGGCAGAGGGCTTGGATGGTGAGCCGGGTGTCAGGGTTAGTTGTGTTAGCCTGGAGCCTGCGAAGCTCCTTATTAATCTGGACCAAGAGGCCGAAGGCCTTCTCCTGCTGGGGGGCTTCCATCTTGGAATGCGGGATGGGGGAGGATAGGATGTTGTGTGAGGAAAGGAAATATGAAGTGGGAGAGTGGAGTGCGAAGCGTGGGAGATCGTGGTACTTTGCGTACGGTGAATGTCAAGTCAAGTCTTGAAGTAGATACTGGAAGAGCTTAGCTTGAGGGAAACTGTGAAGGCAGGATGTTGACGATGAGCAGAAGAAGTTCAAATGGAAACGCAGAAGAAGGGAAGTCAAGTATGTATATGCTATGCTGTATCTTTCTCCAAAACTGATTTTTTCGGAGAAAACTGAGCATTTATAGATAGACAGAAACCATACACAATGCTTAATTTGGTTTACCTCTGTGGTGATGCTGGTCAAGTGCCTCTCACGGTGCTTCCATCGCAACAACCTGGCCCACTCTAACTCGCCCGTTTGACAGGTATATCACCATCTTTTGTCTCATTGTCCTTTAACAAGTTTGATCAAGACCAAGTGGTCTAGTCAGTAGAAGATACAGCTAAACGAATCCTCCTCTGTGGATGCTCTGCTTCGTCTGGGGAGGGGCGCTCGTTTAAATCCAAGCAGTGCCTCAGACAGAAGTTGTGTTGTTTGTTTTTTCGCATTCCCTCTTCTGATGAAGATGACCTTGTGGGCTAGTCAGGAAGACTCAGGATCCTACCTAGAACCTTGCCGTCTACTTGGGGCTACGGAATCTGCGAGCAGCCTTCACAAGGGTGACTTCGCAAGGGTGATTGTACATCTATCGGCTCTGGACGATTTGGTCCATTGCTCTTCCTGGATGCAAAACATCGCTGGGCTTTTCGTAGGTCTCACTCAACCCGAGCTTTCAAGTTTTCGTTCGATCGTTTTCGTTAAGGAGACATCAAGGGAGCAGCAACTGACTAAATTTGGGAAATATTTTCCTAGTACTGCCCACTGAACTGGTTGTTTCCTCGACCTTGATTCCGAATAAAACTTTCTGTCCTGAACGCCGTTGATGGAGCACTCTTCAGTTTCGGAAAGCCTGCACCAGTTCGTGCAGTTTATCAATGACTACGGGTGCGATGGCGCCTAGGGTGTCCTCGATGACCCTTTCGAAATAACGCATAGACTCGTCCTCGGTAAGCTCCAGATGAAATCTCTCCCTAACCTTCAGCACGGCTTTGTCCGGCTCAAGCCTAATATCCGGGATATTCGCGTCAACCATGAGACTGAATAGATTCAAAATCAGGTTGGAGGACTTTCGGAGCGCGCTGTATGCCATGAAACAATAGGACTTGAACTGCTTGAACTGGGGCGAGTTGACGCCACCCATGCAGTCTACCATCTCCTTCGACAGTTTCATGACCGGCGCGAACGGTTTGGGGTCTCGTCCGAGGATGAAGCCGAAGTCAGCATGGAAGAAGTGCCCGTCTGGCGCAAGTAGGAGGTTGTCTAAATGTCTGTCACCCACACCCAATATGTAGGTAATGACGCAGTATCCAGCACATGACTTGACGTATGTATCCAAGGTCTCCTGGCGTAGGCCAAGCGGTTGTCGGTCGTCTGGGTTGTTCGCCCTCAAGTAGGTCAGGGCAGGGTTGTTCTTATACTTTGATGCAATACTCTGCAAGCTGGTGGAAGGCACGAACTGGGAAGCACCAGCAGTTGTGCTGGTCGCCAAAATCTTGTATGGCGACAGCTTCAAATCCAAGTTCTCCTTTTGCAGCAGCTGGTCCATAAGAGTGATGATCTGAATGACCAGCTGATCTTGTCGCAGATCGTCGCCCGTTTTGAAGATGATTGGATATTTCTTGCCCGTAGTCGTTTTGAAGGTAACCTTGATGGGACACAGCGATGACTTGAAGACTATTGTCTCTTCCGGCACAACACCCACGACCTTCATGGTAGGGTCGAGTGGAAGCGGCAGAGGCGGATCAATGGCAATGACCTCGTTCTTGGGATCGGCCAACCAGCTCTTGGCATGATCCGTCTTCTTTGCGACAGACTCGTGGGACATTTTGATTTCGTTGGAGATTTTGGACAGGTTCGCAATCAATTCGGCCTGCCTGAGGAGGGTCTTTCGGGTGTCCACCCCGTCAGGACGCTTCACCAGCTCCGTCATGAAGTCGTAGGCAACTTTCCGGTAGATGTTTCGGTTGTCAAGTCCTTGCTCGGCACTGTGATCATCGCACTCGACCATCACGTACCAGTGGAAGTAATTGCCGAGAAGAAAGTTGTCAGCCGCGCGCGATATCAAGAATTGCGCGAGAGAAGAGTCTTGGATGGTTTCCTGGGATGAATCAGACGGAATGTGTTCATACTTCAAAGCTTGCACAAGCTGCAACAAGTAGAGGAGCAACTCGTGGTCATCAGCTTTTCGTAGTCTGTCTACAGCGTAGGCTCGAACAGCTTGGTTGTCGAACGTAGGGCCAAGCAGCTCGAGCGCGTCATCGACTTCAATTTGTGTCCACCGTCCCAGAACTTGCACCGCCTGCTTGGCTTCACTGTGATCTTGCCAGTTGACGGATTTCACAAACTTTGTGACTGCCCGCTTGTCACGGGTGAGATGGTAGCGGAACTTCCAGATCAGGTCCTTCTCTTCGGGTGTCAAGATATGGGTCGGAGAGTATGACATGATGAGGTTCAGCTCGTCGCGAACCTTGGCGTTCGGCTTGAGGTCCTTATCCAAGATGCCGTGACGATGCTGGCTTCTGACAAGTCTCCTGTGCTTGCTCTCGGCCGGATTGTCACGGGCCCCAACCTCCGGATCATACACCTTCATCAGGCGACTGCCGGGACCTGAGTCGCCGAGTGCGTTGATGCCAGGACCAAACTGTACTTCTGGTGGTGGCTTTAACATGACGTTTGACTGAGACGCCGACATGTGTTGCAACGCCGAGATTGGTGGAGGTGGGTACTCCAAGTCGGCAAACACTACTGGGAAATCGAACCGTGGCAGCTCAACGTTGAGTTGGAACTTGGAAAAGCCTGCATGAGTCTCTGTGTCAACAGCGTTGTTCTCGTCTGCAACTCTGTTCTTTTCGTTGACTGCATCGCCGTTTTTTGTTTGTTGCCGTTGCATGGCTTTGAGTGATTGTTTCGCTGACTGAAGGCCTCGCTTCTCAAAACCGCGGAAGACTAGCTGGTCAAGCCAATCGACTCTAGGGATTTCCCCCATCTCGTGTTTCTTAAATAGTTTCTCCATGCGCTCCAGCTCCTCTGCATCTTTGTCCACTGGTAGCGCAGACCCTTTCCTCGATGTGTCCCTCTTCTTACGGGGAACCGCAGGTGTGGTGGTGTTGTCGTTGCCGTCAGCGTTCTTGTGTCGATGTACCATGCATTTCTGCCGGCCCTTTTGCACTTGGTTATCTCGGTCGAATAGTGGTAGCGTGGTTCCTCCGAAGGGTATCACGTGGCCCACGGCCTGTTTTCCACCAGCAGGCGAAGAGTCCCATAACGTGATGGCCAAGCAGGAGTTCAAGGGAAGCGTGGAGTAGTCGATTGGGAGCGTCAGCCATTCGTTCCACCTGCAACAGGCGGCCATTAGCGACAATCCTGACAGGAAACAGGGAGCTGCCATACCTCCTTTCGTTTCGGAACGATTTATATGCTGTCTGAACTGGCACAGTTAAGGGTTTGGAACCGGCCCACACTTGGACTGTGACGTAGAGATCGGAATGGGAGCTGGGAGGTCAGTACGAGCAACCGCTTATGGAGCCTGGGCGAGGTACCTCGTGTTGGAGCCGATATGCCTTAGCTCGGCTTTCTCTAAGAGTGTAGAATGTAGAAATGGGGTTTCATCGCCTTCCAGATTGATTCTATAGCCAGGGAGTCAGCGCGCGCATCGCACGGTGGAAGTGCCAGAGAAGGGAGTCGTACATGCGGATGCTCACTGGATAGTCCAGAGACTCGGAGCTTGCGAACGAGAACGGGTCCATCTTGGCACGAGGAGCTCACTGGAAGTCATGAGGCCATTCTGTGAGGTCGATACAAAAGATTATAATCGCGGTAGCTTGCCGTCGTCGGTCAGGGAAAATGTGCGATCGGGGAGGCTGGAGTTTGCGTCGCGCAGAATGATGTTGAATGCGCACTTGGGTTCCCGGTGCTGGGTGGTGCCGATAGCACGGACACGAGCTACCTTAGGCTCAAAGGCAGGTGACAGTACCGCGAGCGCAGTCAGTGAGACAGTCACTCACCTCAGAGCTTCAGTGGAGCCCCAATGGTCGCTGCCACCAAGGTTGCACCGGCTCGTTGACCCCGCCCAAGCCACCCGTTATGTTATCGATAAGAGCAACACAAGCCACGACTTCCCCCACGCATGCTAGAGGGAGAGATAAGATAAGACTAGCTGAGCGCGTTGAGTGGGAAGGAGGCCCGGAAAGTGTGCTTGTCGCGTCTTCCCGGTCACAATTTCACGCGCGACCTCCCACTTCATCTTTAAACGGGCATTTTATCGCAACTCCGTCCGATCATCGCCTGTTGAGATACCGCCGCCGCGCTCTCTTGTCACACCCTATCTTGTGTTATCGAGGTGTACTACCGACCGACCTTCCTCTTTCGACCCCATCACGCATTCAAAGGCCGCCGACGCTCACCCCTCCACTGCTCAAAAATGCCTGCAAGAGTGGACGGCTCCACGCCGCCCTCCTCGCCAGGTTCACCAAGCGAAGATGATGCACCAGGACCCGCGAGAGGTCATCTCGCCATCCGAGACAAAGGGAAGGGTCGCGATGTATCCATTGGGAAGCGGAAGCGCGCAGACACGAACGGAGAACAGTCTTCACGCCGCCCCGCAAACGGCCGCTCCGGCGACAGGGACGATGAAGATGGCGACGATGTTTACGACCCCGACCAACCCATGGAGGAACGTCGAGAGATCCAGCGTCGGCTGCGTGAGCTGCAGAAAGGTATCAACGAGAATATGGAGGAGTACATGATGCCAGGTTCAAAAGGTCTCAAGGAGACTTTGATGATGGCGCAAGAAGTTGCCCGGAATGTCAAGCAGACAACAGAAGCTACCATCGACTCCCGCCTACTTGTTAGCGCAGTCGACATGTCATACCGCAAGACTGTGCGGTTGATGCAGGGCAGCTCGGCAGAGGGCGTCGATATCGACGAGTTCGTCTCGAAATGCTGCACCTATATGCGTCAAGCCGGCGGCATCGAAGATGACGAAGCACCCGAGCTTTCGAGCACGCAAAGGCGAAGACGCAGGACCGGTGGCGGCTCAAATGACGATGACGGGGATAATGACGAGGCGTTCAATTGGAGCCACTTGGGAAGGTTCGCGTCTCTGCCTAACATTCGCCGTCCAGCCTTGCCTGGCTTCCTACTGGGCCCGCTGTCTGTTGAGAAGAAGATTCGAAAAATCTCCAAACGAACAGCACCATTCCGGCCAAACAATTTGGCAGAAACAAGACCTGAAGTTCTGGATGTCCAGGATTTGGCCAAGAAGGAAAACGACCTTACGGCAATCTGCGGTAAAATCCTCAAGCAACTGCAAGAGACACAGGCGGATGCCCAGACGAAGCTTGTGGAACTCTTTGACGAGAGAGAAATGAGCGAGGAGGAACAAATTCAGACGATGCACGCATATGGCCTTCGAGAGACCGGCGGAGTCGACCTCCTACGCTTCGTCGTGAATCCGAAGTCTTTCGGCCAGACCGTAGAGAACATGTTTTATGTCAGCTTCCTTATCCGCGACGGCAAGGTCGGAATTGAGTTCGATAGCAACGAGCTCCCGTCTCTGAGTAAGTTAGGCCTAACACATCGCAAGACCTCCTCTAACCCAAATCTTAGGTCCTATTACTGGCGACGAGATGGAAGAAGAGGGTGGAGTCAAGCGCGAAGTCGCAAAGCATCAAGCCATTTTTTCGATGGATATGGAGACATGGCAAGACATCATCGACACATTCCACATCACTGAGCCAATGATTAAGCACAGGAAAGAGGCAACGGCATCGGGCCCCGGTGCTAGAGGTTGGTATAGCTAGATGGACTAGATGATATGGGCGGCGTTTGGCGAGGCATTTCAGATTCATGGATTTTCTTGGTGCTGAATCATATTCAGAATACCCGGATGGCAGCTACGTGGCACTTGCAATGGGGAGGAGATATCAACACTGGCGTTTCAAAGGATAGGAGACATATTAGCAGGAGTTCACGATCCATCAAGGCGAATCGAATCCTGCCGCAATTGCAAGATTTCTCAACCCACCCTCTCTCGATTTGGATGATTTGATGGAAGACGGAGCTGGCAAACGGTCAACCAGAAGATCAAGGGATGCCAAGTTGGCAAGTTCAACAAAGGCTAAGAAGCGACAAGGAAAGGGATTCCGCACGGCCACCTTTTCACCCAAGGGCTTCTGAATGGATTGACCTTATTTGTGTTGCACCAAGGGAGCAATGAGCCTTTTTTTCGGACTGAAAATCCGATTGAAATGCTATTCTGGGCTTCGTCAAAGGCCTTTCTCCCGTTTGATCCCCTGGATATCATCACGATGGCGCCGCAGATAACGCAAACGGACTTTTTGGCAATGGATACACTAAGAGAAAAGACATCGCTTCTTGCTCCTTGGGTCATTGTCTCCTAAGACTGGCTGAATGGTTGTAAAGAAGTGCAAAGACGACGGCTTTCGAACCTGCCTTGTCTGGGCCTTATCATCTGAAGGTGTACCATAAGTATGAGAGAGGTCAACGATGTCAAAGACGGACTACCACGCCTTGTTATTCGTTTGCTCTCTTCAAATTTCCTTCTGTTTAGCCTGATAAAAACCTTGTGTTATCCCCCATAACGTGTCACAACTATTCTTCCACCAAAGTTTTGCGCAACATCTGTCGTAAGTACACGAACTAGACATTTGCTGACATCCGACATTCGAAGCAACATGGCCGAGGAACGGGACGAGGGTAAAGTTCCGGAGAGCGAGCCTCCTCGTGGACGTGCCAGATCTCGAGACATTCCTCAGCCGGAGCCTCCGAGGCAGACGGAAGATGAGCGGAGTGCCACAATAGACAACACAGAGCCCGACAATGAGGTGGCCAGCGGCAACAACCCAAAGCCATCGCCGCCGAGACCATTCTCGCCGGCACCGTCAAACAACACACACGATGACACCTTTGACTCGTCCGTCTTTGATTCGCCCGCGCCGTTCGATGATTCGGTAAGCCATTCTCCAGCTGGCTCCATACCAAGTTCTCCCATGGTCGACGTGACGACGCCGGAGACGAAGCAGCCGAGACCCGTGTCGTGGGCCAGTGTCGTTCAGAGTGTTCCGGAGGAGAGCAATGTCAAGAGCGATGTCTCTCCCATGAGAAGCCTGTCGGCTCGGAATATTTCCCGTGGCCGGGGAGGAACGTCCAGCTCTGCGCTTGCTCGATCAGCGTCGACGGCTTTCGAAGGACCGAAAGTGGGCAGTAGCCGTGAATCTTCCACCACGCCTACCCGAAGTTTGAGCGTCACACGCGGCAGTGGCTCTCGCTCACGAGGGCGACAGAGATTCACGACCGATCGAGGATCCTCTCTGGCCCCAGCGCAAGATTCATCACAGTCGACCCCCAGCGATGTACAGCATGAAGATACCCAGCGTAACGACGCCCAGCGCGATGATGCAACGGAGCGACAGACTTTGGCCCGTTTGAGGGGTAGATTGAAGAGCCTGGCCGAAGAACACAACCTACTCGATCTGGTCGGCACGCTTTTGGGTGATGAAGACTCGGAAGACTCAAGTGACGAGCCGACCATCGACTCCCTCCTCAACGACACCTTCGCCAACCTCGCCTTGGAGGTCGGTCACTGGAGTGAGGCCAATGCATCGGTGAAGGCAGAGCTCGAGGAATTCAAGAGGACCCAGGCAGCCCTTCAGCAGGAGAAGGAGTCTCTTGAAGAGGCTCTGAAGGAGAAAGACGTCCTGCTTGCGCAGGTCAACGAGCAGCTTGCGGATGTCCGCGAAGAACTTGAAGACGCCAAAGTGGCTCGCGATGCTAATTACGATGACGCTGAGCAATACAATGCCAGATACGAGGAGGCTGAGAACAACCTCGGGAAGGCCGAGGATAAACTCGCGGAAGCCGAAAGCCGAATATGCGAACTTACCGTACAGCGAGATCGCGCGGATGCCCAAAGACGACACCTTCAGTCGAGGGTTGAGGAGCTTGAGCGTGATCAGCAAACTGCGCGCGTTGCCGGCACAGAGGAGCTCGAACTCAAGGTGGCTTCCCTTAGCAACCAATTGAGGGAAGAACAAACAACTAGGGCTAAGGCGGTGAAAGATCTTGAGCAGAAAGAAAGGAAGTGGAAGAGCTCTGAGGATGGATACAATGAGTCGATAAATCACTACGAACAGATGCTTGTGGCAGCCGGAAAGGACAAGGTCCGGTTAAGCGACAACATTAACAGGCTCAAGCAAGAGCTGGACGAATCCAGACGGAAGAGAGCAGCCGCCAAGCCCGAGTCGGCGACATTCCTCGTCGACGGCGAGAAAGTCTCATACAAGCAATATGAGAAGATGCTCGGCAACACCAGGGGCGAGATTTCCTATCTCAAGCAGCAATTGGATCAGGTAAAAGATGAACAGAGATTATCTCAGGAGATTCCCGTGGAGGATGTCCGTCGCATCGTCGAACCATTCCTCAAGGTTTACGGCATTGCCTTCGAAACCGCCCTTCTCGCCATTGGCAGCAGTTCGCAAGAGGAAGAGGATAGCATTGACGCTCTTGCCAACGACGATGGGTACGAGTCTTATCCCCGGGTCAGTTTCGTTCCGGATGCAGAGAGAGAGCTCTCGCGAGCGTCGACTTCCAGCTTTGTAGGTGCAAGAGGTGATTGTGCGCCTGATGTTGGAGACGATATGTCTCAAATCTCTCGGAGGACGAGCACAGCCTTTGGTGGCGCTCATGATTTGAGGAGCGAGCTTCAAGGGCTCAGTCTCAGTCGAGAATCGTCCGTCGAATTCGAGGAGGTAAGAGCGTCTAGTTGCATTGCTGGTGTGAGAGAAGTCGTACTAACATCAACTCCAGCCAGAGGTCAGCCAGGCACCTCAGAGTGGCATGCTGAGCAAATCTTGCAGCCCTACGGTCGTGGCCGACTTGCGGGCTCGCCTGTTGCAGGCAATGACCAAGTTGCGGACTTTGGAGGATGCGAAGCAAGTCTACGAAACGCAGATTCTGGAGCTGCGGGACAAAGTTTCCGGCTTGAGGGGGAGAATCGACGTTTACGAGACCATCATTGAACAGCTCAAGGCAGAAATCAGCCGGGCCAAGGATCAGCAAGGTACTGGAGCTGAACAGAGGAAGCTCGCGGAACACGAGACCACCATCTCGGCGCTGTTTGAAAAGCTCCAGGTATTCAAGGAGAAGCTTTCCGAGGCAAATCAACATCGCAACAGGCTCCAAGAGGAGATTGGGGATGTTCGAGCCGAGCTGGAGGCCTGGCAGGTCTCGGGTGACGAGATTGGAAATGCCAACTTGAGTCTGGAGCAAAGAATCACGGAGAAGGAGGACGAAATCGCCATTCTCGAGGGCCACATCGAAGAACTCAAAAGCCAAGTAGCCGAGAGTATCGCTCGCAACGAAGATATCGAAAGCGAACGGTTTGATTTGGAAACTAAGCTTGCTGGAGAACGTTACAAGAGGCAGGCCGAGACAGAAAGAAGAACACAGGCCGAGCGCGGAGCCATCTGGGAAGGCACCGCTGGAAAGGAATTACGCAGATATCAAGATGAGATCGAACAGCTCAAACAAGAACTGTTCAACCGCGAGAACGACCTGCGGCAAAAGGAACGGGAGATTGCGCACGCGAAACGGGACGCACTGCAGGCACCTGAGAAGCAGCACTCCGTTCAGACAGTCGGCACGCAGACCGATGTGGGACAGGGAGAAGTCGTTCGGGTGCTCGGGAGTTACCTGCAGTCTCTCCGAGAGTTTGCAGAGTTTGAGGAGAAGCTTGCCAGCTTACTCAAAGAATCTGCAAGGGAAGAATCCCCCAAACCGAACGATCAAATTACCGACATGACCCAGCCGTTAGATGAGAGCCAACCCCTAAGCATGGACCCTTGGGATGAACAAAATGGCATGCTTGACCAACTCGAAGAAATGCGCCAGGTTTTCGAAAAACTAAGGAAGAAGAAGGACGAGCATTGGAAAAGTCTCACGGAAGCTCAAAATGGCGAACTGTATTTTCTCGACCTTGAGTTAGGCACGTTGGAGGAACGACTTCAGGCGGTTGAGGCAGACAGGGGACTCCCTACAGACACCAGTGAGGACTTGAGCCTTGAAATGGCCATCAAACAAGGGGAGAAGGAGGAGATTATGCACCCCATCACGTTTGAATCGGCTGCCTTGCGCAAAGACATCAAGACTTATGGAGCCCGGTTGAACGACTCGCTCCGTCGACTGGACCAGCCTCCTCCAACACCACCTCTGCAAGCCACTGCGTCCACTTTGGCCCCTGAACATGCGGGTGGGCCAGGAGAGCGACAACTGATTCCTAGATCAGCAAGTGCGAATCGGGAGAATGATGGACGTCCCTCCTCGCACCCCGACAGCGAGAATAACGACCAGCATGACAAGGGAGATGGAATGGATGACAGCTCTAACGCAAAGCCAGAAGAGCTCTCCTCCCGGCCCTATTTCGTGGCAGAAATCGACGCCATCCGAATTGCGCTCGAAAGACTCGATACCTCCGCGAACAGATCACTACAAGCCTCTCGGGTTGTCCGGGCAATTCAGTCGCATGCGGCTCATAGCTTAGAGCTTCACATCGCCAACAACGACCTTGTTCTTCCAAGTTTCGACGGTGACTCGGAGCCTCCATACGATCTTTCAACCAACGCAAGCGACAGCGGAGGAACCTCTGTCTTTGACCCTCCCACTCAAGACCCCGGTGAAATGACAGCTCGCCTAGGATCGGCCTTCCAGGAATTCAACAACCAAATCAGCCAGATCCCTAAAGCGAATCACGACATCATAAGGGCAATTCACTCTCTTGTCAGACGTGCCGGCAGTGTGCAAAACTATGACTTTCTCCGCACCCAGGCTCGGAATTTTGCGCTGCAACGAGACCAGGCTCTCAGAATCCTGGAGAACAGGGGTGCGGATCTGCCAATGTTTAAGGAACATGAGCAGAAGTACCAGGAGGACATCAAGCGCCTTGAGGGAGTGATTGAGTCGCTTCGCGCTCAGCTCAGCGACAGGGAGGGAGACAAAGAAATGGTCGAGTCACTCGGCACACAACTCGCCAACTTGAAGGCCGAAGATCAGACGATGCCTCTGCAGTTGAGGCAGACGCAAGACAAACTGGATGACGCATTGTATGAGAAGAACGTCATCGTCCGCGAGCACGCGCTCGAGATACTGCAAGTCGCCGAAGACCTCAGGAGGAAGCTTGAAGAGTCCCAGGAAGAGGTCGACTCGCTTCAGAAGAAGCTCGATTTGGAGCTTTCTTCGAGGTCCGCGCCAATCGATCATCTCATAGAACGCCGACGGGAGCTTGAACAACAGCTGGCGGTTGCCAAGCGTGCTAAAGATGCGGCTGAGGAATCCCACCTTCATGTTCGGTTGAAGCTGCAGAAGTTGCTCAATGGCACCGGTGAGAACGATGGAGAAAGCATGCGGCGCGTAATTTCCCAGATCCTTGACCCGACGGGTGGCAGCAGCGAAGACGCCGGTCCAGATTCGGTAGGTGCATCAGACGACAATGAAGGAACGGATCGAAGGTTCGACCTGGAGCAGAAAGTACAAGAGTTGCAGAAGGTACTCGAACTCCGGCAAGGACGGGACGATCAGCTTCAACAAACTTTGGACGATCGCGAGAAGCTGTTGAAGCACGTGCAAAAGGAGTTTGAGCTCTCTCAAGACAACCGCATCGCTGGAGCCGAGAAATGCAGGATGCTGGAACAGCAGATCAAGGAGCTGCAGGCGACGAACGAAGTGTTGCATGTCAATCTTGCAGCTCTCGACGACAGGCCAGCCTCGCGACTTTCTGGAACAAGCGGCGGGGACATCGCTGATAGCCCGACATTCCGGAAGGGGTCGAGAAAGCTAAAGAAGGTGATATATGTGGACGGAAAAGCCCAAGTAGTCACAGTCCCTGCTAAAGGAGATGAGAAGAAACCTGAGAGCGAGCCAGAAAGCGGAGATAATGATACGGACGACAAGATTATTGAGGATCTGAAGAAGCAAAACGAGCATTTGAAGGAGGCAAACGAGAAGTTGGAGGATGCAAACGAGAAGTTGGAGGAGGATGCAGGGACGATGCTTGAGGTTTTGGAAGGTTCCCAATCCAAATCGTCGCAAGATGTCAAGAAGTGGAAGGAGAAAGGGTCGGACAAGAAGAAGAAGAAGGGCAAGGAGAAAGCCAAGCCAAGGCTCAAGACAGCTTCGAAAGACGAAGATCCGGAGGCATCTTCGAGTTCAAGCTCCAGCGACTCGGACTCTTCTCCGAAGGACGACAACAATGGCGGCGGAGGACCCTCTCAGTCACCAGAGGACAAGATCAAGCAGCTCCAGGAACAAAACAGACTCCTGAAGAGGAATTACTTCGAAGCCAAGCAGAAGGCCGAAGATATGGAGAAAGACATGGATGCTATGAAGTCCGAGACGCCTGCGCGGGCTGCCGGAAGTTCGAATGACAACTCGAATAAGCCAGGCCAAAAGCCAGAAGACAAGCCAGAAGACAAGCCAGCACGAATGAACCCGAGGAACAAACCGAATCGAAACAACAGCAAGCCCAAGGCTGAGGGTACAGCAGGGACAGGCCCCGCACCTAAATCTGACCCGGAGTTCGTGTTCCGGTATTCTGAAGACATGATGTTCCCCTTGCCTGCCTCGGCGATTCAAAAGGAGGACGGGAAAGCCCCAGGCGACGGCGACCGAGACAACAAACCACCGGGCGATGGCAACGGCAGAAAAGGAGCAACAGAAGAAGTGAAGGACCCCTGGGTTTTCCGGGTCATCATGTCAATCTTCAAGTGGTACTGGCTTCAAGTCTATAACATGTGCGAAATCATTGTGCTCGCAATCCAGTTCAAAGCGATACACCACAGAAACTTCGCCTTTCTTCTTGTAAGCGTCGTGTGGAATTTCACCTTCTACTTCTGCCTTTGCAACTGGTTCGCGCTTCATGTTTCTCGAGAGCTTTGGGCGAGGGGCAACGACCTCACGCGGGCGTACTACATCGAGACGACGGTGCGGCCCAAGGTACACAACATGCTGGGCCTGGGAGGCTCAGACTATCGTTTCTGGCCGACCATCAACTATTTTGCTGGTCTTTTTTACGAAGACCTTCTGGGCATGAGCCTGAGCTGGAACACCAGCGGCTTGCCGTGGGAAGCGCGGATGGCGGGAGAGGAGGGAGTTTTCCCCGTATTTCTGGAGGATTGATTTTGACAGGTTCTTGACTCGATGTGATGTTGGGTGGACGGTATGACATTTGACGATCTGGTGGCCAGCTCAGTGCAGTGAGTGGGTGAGTGGGTGAGTGAAGTGTGCTGTCATGTTTTGGTTTGTAATGACGGATATTGGGCGCAACGGCGTTTGGACATTTAGACTTGTTTCTTCATCTGATTGCACAAACACAATTGAATCATCTCAAATTGGATATCCGTTGGCGTGCGTGGTCAAACGGCTTCCCGTCGTCGTCGTCGTCCGGCAGATGATTTGGAATTTGCAGCACTGTCGACCCAGGGCCCCGGTAGAGGCGACCAGAAAAATGTCCGAAAAACGCTTAGCGCGCATGGACTCTTGCACCCAGCAGATTGCCAGTTGTGGCATAGTCCGGCCACCTCGGCGGCGGAGGTGGAACCACGCGGAACAGGACGCTTCTGCACGGGACGACTCGAAGCCCCGGTCGGAGGGACTCGTTCTCGCAAAAGACGTTTCGTTCCGCGGTGGATTATTAAGAGACGACACGGCACTGCAGATTTGCAGATTGGGGGCCCGGTGTTTGGTTCGTTTTGGGGAGGTCGAACGGTGGTGGGCGGAGTGTGCGATCGGCCGACCCCGACTCTGTGCCTCGGTCCCGTCGTCGTCAAATTATTCAGCCAGCCATGCAGTCAGCCCAGCACTGATTTCAGTAGCGGGTGGTTCCCGATCTACCTAGGTAGCCAGTAGGTAGGTATTCGTAGGCTCCTCCGCCCTAGGAGACCTGAAGGACCCCGGGGCGGCATGGAAGATGTCACTCTGATGCAGTTCCCGCACCACCTCGTCAGTGATGTCATGACACCGGCCCTGTCCAGTCCCTTTCCCTTAAGGCAGTTTCCACACAGCATCCCTACCTTACGCATACAGCGTGCGACTAACGTTCTGACAAGCTGCGTCTGCATTGCATCCGCAGCGGCCGATCGATATTACACCAGCGCAGCTACTAACATCAAGGACCCGATTTCAAATTGCAGCCCTGTACAGAGACTGACCTCGGGCGAGACAAACGCACGATAGCCACGCGCAGCAGCAGCGAAAGTCACAAAGACGGCCGACTCAGACGCATTCAGCAAAGCAGCAACAGCAACAAGCTCGGCCGAACCGAACAAGGGTTCTGGGCACATTTTCCATCTCCTGCAGCTCCCGCATCCACATCCATCCACATCCATCCACATCCCACGCGGTCACCCCATCGGATTGATGAAACTTTTCAGAGTGCCGCGGTAGTATGGTGCGGTGCAGTGCAGCGCAGTGTCCCCCGACTCAGTACCACCCGTTCCCCGACGTCAACGACGACATACCCGGGCCGCAGATCTCGCCCTTTCGTCCCGTCCGTCGTCTCTTCCCGTCCGCTTCTCAGCTTCTGCCCTTCCAATTGCAATTTGTTGCGAGGAATAGCTGGACCCTGCGCCTTGTCGAAACAATCGCAGAAGGAAAAAAAAAACGGACTCCCGGCTGAGGGAAGCTTGACTTCCATTGACTGACGTGCGAATCGAATTTCCCCCACACCATCTCTTACACACCCTCCCTCCCTCCCTCAATCCCTCCGTCTTCCGCAGTCCGCGTTTCTAGAACGAACCCGTCGGAACGCCTCCGCTTGATTTGACAATGGTACGTGTGCCCGCCGCGCCCACACCACGCACGCCGTCGTAGCTTAAATCTGTCCCTGTTCCCGCCCCCGTTCCCGTTGCAGCTCGTGAAAGCTGCTCCATCCCGGCAGACAGTCTCAGTTCCCCAATTACCTCATATATAACCCAAATACACCCTCCCCCTTCTGCCTTCTGTCACGCACGTTTTCTAAAACTATCCTTCCGTTTAGAGATTCCTAAGATACCCGGCTACATCAGCCCGCACAATCCGCACTTCGACAATCCATCGCAGAGCATTCTCGGCGACACACAACCCGTCGCAAGCTCGCTCGCAACCTCATCCCGAAGGTTCATCTCACACCACCAACAACACCACCACCAATACCCAAGCGACCCTTCAAGGCCAACACACCCTCGACTCTCCAGACCAGCAGACCTCATCCCACAATAACAACCCTCTCAAATCAGCCAAAGACCATATCAAGAAACCCATCATGTCACAAAAACTCATCCCCGCGAACCCCGCGGACGTCATGGTCATCCGCGACCTCACCCCCAACGTAACCACCTTCTCCGTCCCCTTCGCCCGCTTCGGCGTCCTCAAGATCGGCGGCCGCGCCACCCTCGTCCGCCTCTCCTCCGGCGCCCTCGCCGTCTTCAGCCCCGTCGCCCTCACCGACGCCGTCAAGGCCAAGATCGCCGAGAAGGGCGGCAACCTCGCCTACATCATCGCCCCCGACATGGAGCACCACATCTTCCTGTCCGAGTACAAGCGCGAATACCCCGCCGCCAAGATCATCGGCCCCGACGGCCTGCCGCAGAAGCGCGCCAAGCAGACGGGCGACCCCAAGGTCAACCCGGCCGACGAGTTCTTCGTCACCTTCAAGGACGGCCCGGGAAAGCGCGAGACGGCCATCACGCCCGAGTTCGACGCCGACTTCGCGTACGAGTACGTCGACGCCCACGCCAACAAGGAGCTCGTCTTCTTCTTCAGGCCCGAGCGCATCTTGATTCAGGCCGATCTCATGTTCAACCTGCCCCCGCGCGAGCAGTACTCCAAGGCGCCCGAGGGCGAGCGGGATACGTCGGCGGGCGTTCCGAACAAGCTGTTTGGCGGGCTGCAGACGACCGAGGGCGATGTGAAGTGGGTGAAGCGGTTCCAGTGGTACGTCATGAGCGGGCGCGACAGGCCGAGCTTCAACGAGAGCATCCAGACGATCGACAAGTGGGACTTTGACACGATTATCCCCTGCCACGGTGATACCATCCAGGGCGATGGTAAGGAGAGGTTTAGGAAGGTGTTTGAGTGGCATTTGGCCGGGCAGAAGCAGTGAGGGTGGTGTTGATGTAATGAGTGGGTTGCATGATGGCGTTTTGGATTATTAGCTGCGATACCAGACTAGAATTTGGATATTTCATTCTTACGTTGTAACTGTTCTTGACCGCTCGACCATTCTTGTGAGTTTTTCTTACGAGACTGCTGTTATTGTACGAGGATCCTTCAAATACTTTGCGCTTGAGCCAATCTTGTACTTCTTATGTGAATATGCTTGCGTGCAATTCCACCTCATCCTGCCTATGGTAACATAGTAGCCCTGTGGCTTACAGAAAACAGCGTTGATCCCCAACACATCTGATACTCCTTGCCAGATCTTGGAGCTTGTCTTTTACCGCCGATCCAACATCTGCGATCCGCGTTCCAAACATAGCCAACATGCGATGATCTTCACATTAAGGGTTCATTTTCAGAAAATCGTGGTTTCCCATGGCAAGTACTCCATGGATGGGTTGTTGTTGGGTTGTTCTTTGTATAATGGATCACCAATACGCCAATGGGGGGTCAACCGGCCGCCAATCGGAAGTGAAGAGCTCAAGGTCGATGCCTGGATTGGAAATGAGTGAGAAGTTGTGAATCGATAGCAATGGGACGCTGTTACATGTTCGTTTTGTCACGAAATCCCCTCCCGAGGCGGCAATACCGAGACGATGCTCGACCATGTGTCTGCGAAGCGGCTGCAGAACAATCACCGCTTCATCACGCCATCCGTAACCTCCAGAACCGAGAAGCTGGTCGCTCCGTTCGCGATACTGCACCTCCCATTCATTCATCCATTTTCCTTCCGAGAGCGGGGAATGCGTTGCGCATGTCATCCAAGCATCGAATGTGATCAGCTTTTCCGGTAGTGTACCGCACGGCGAGAGCGGCCTCGGCGAACATACTCCCGACGGTTGAGTTGCCACACTTTTGGTGATGGAGTACGAGCCCCAGCATCCAGGGCTTGGCCGCGCGGTACTTTTGCTCCATTGGGCTGAGGATCTCGAGGAGGTTGACTTCAATGGTGTGCATGGCGTACTCAACATTCAACCACTCTGCGAGTATCCAAAGTTCAACGTTCTTGCGGATATCATCTTCCGGGAATACCCACTCGATTTCGCCGCGGTAGAAGCAATCCATCAAGATGCGGACCAGGTTGAGGTCATATTCGGCTGGTATCTCCAATCTGCCACGGTCGACAGCCTATGTACGCTATTAGCAACGATCCGAGTCCTATGAACGCTGATCTCGAAGAGTAAAGAGATACCTTGCGGGATGGAAGACCATGCTTGAAGAACTTCGCAAAGTATCCCGAGTGTTGAACGAGGATGGATCTGTGGACTCGAATCGACCGCCTGCCTTGAGCCAGACGAAAGTCGCCGTACTTGCCCGTCTGGAGCATCCAGCGACAGTCCTTTGACATTTTGGCGGAATGTGTCGATATCAGACAATGAATGGCCTGGTTGGATTCGTGGGAACGAATTCGTGTTGAGAAAAGTGAGTTTGGGAGAGAGATACAGAGGATGAAATATGCCAGTAAGCTCTGTGAAAAGAAAGGAGAAGAAGAAAATAATCGCAGTGTAGAAAAGCTAACGTGCAGGAAGGTGCAGCTTCCCTGAGTGCCCAAGATACTTGCTTTGCAAGGCAGACACGCACCTTCTGAACTGACCGCGACAACAGAACAAAACTACTATTCTCTTCTTTTTTACACACGATCACGCCTCACTTAGCAGGGTAGGAGGCAGTGGAATCGATTACGCCGGAAATTCGACGATTCCGACTTCAAAGTGCTGAAGAGTCCTCTCTTTCTATGGATGCCCCTATTTCACCGAGTGGACCTCATCATGTCCGATTTGTGCTATGAACACCATCTACTTGCTTCTCCGTAAACCCCATCCCTACCGAATCATTCACGACGATTGCTTTCGCTTTTTGCTCGTGGTCGCGTCTGGTCCGCTGCAAAATGTGAGCGTGGCACGCATGTCTTGGACCGCATGTGAACAGTACCTGGTCAGGATTCTTGAGGGCTTCGTCATCTTCTCACTGATGAGTTTGTCTCTGAATTCTTCCTCTCGATCGATTCGTTGCTTCATGACCGTTGACGAGCGATATATGAACTCAAATTCGTCGCTGTTCTCCTTGTATCGAGAAGCCCAGGATAGCATCATGTTTGCGGACAGGATGTTTTCTCGAGCGTGCTTCTCCACCAAGTCGCTCTTCTTTGGGTACTGGGAGCGGTCAATGAGAATCGCACAAGCAGCCTCGCCAACTGCGTAGCCTAGGCCCGACTCAGCGCAGGCCTTGTGATGGAAGACGGTATCTAGTAATGTGCAATCCGCGACGATAAACTTGTTGCTAAGACCGTTGAGCTTGCTCTTCACACGGTGCTCAACTTCAATCATGGCACTTGTCGCCTGAAGTCTGTCTGCGAGAATCCAGAGCTTGGCGAGCATGAGCATGTCATCAGGACACTTCCAGGGGGTGTTTCCTCGGTAAAAGAAGTCGAGAAGATGTCCCATAGTTTGGGAGTCGACGTCTGCGAGGTTTGAGATGCCGAGCTTGGTTTCCTAAAGTCACCGGCAGTCAGCCTCATGTGATGTAATATGAGCTTCTGGGTACGAGAAGAGTAACCTGAAATTCGCTCTTGAAGAGTCTGGCAAAGTAGGTGGAATGAAGACTCAGCATCAACCGAGGCACATTGAACTCCACGCCATCATCTGTGCATACGATGCGAAAGTCTGCGAAATCGCCCGTCTCGAAAACCCAACGGTGATCTTCGGTCGACATTGTCGATAACCCTTATATGTGTGGCGTTGGGCTTTGGGAGATGTGAGAGGTGAGTGAAGAATCTTGAGTTAGAACGGAATGATGTCGTAGGTGAGAAGAAGGAGTGCAGGCGGGGAGGAGACGTGTCTTCCTTCCAAAGGAAAGAAAGACCGTAAGCTGGGCGTCATGACCAGGAAGGAAGGACCGCACTGGACCAAGCTACCGCTCAACCCAGAGATTGAAGGAGCATTTGAAAAAGTCTGCGGGAGGTGCCTACCGAGCTAATAGATGACCTTTGAGTGTTCACCTGAACCCATCTCCTTGGTTGCTCCTGAGAGTGATGAGAGCAAAGCTGCGGTTACTTCGATGGCGCGTTCTACGGGGTTGAGGCAGGCAGGACGAAATATGCAATCCAAGGACGCCCAATTCCTGGACCATCACAGCTATATTTATCGTTATCCAGGCCCGTCCTTCTCTGGCGTGGTTAAAACTTTTCTCCTTACAAATCTATCCTAGTGTCGATTTGACGTCTAATCCGTCCTGATAGCCATTTTAGAACCCCCTTTTCCTATGTATGATCTGGCAGTCGAGGCTTCGCATTCCAAACATCACTTCTGCTTTCCTTTTGAGAATAGCAGGGAGAAAATCTCCCTGTTTCCAGGAATACCCATGATGCTGCTGGAAACATTAAGTTCGCTGCCGAAGGCCCTTTGTCTATCTACTTTGAACCCCTCGATGCGGCCGTAACGTGTCCCACAGACTACAGCCACTTTCCTGCAGATCGCCTTCCTTTCGGCCTGCCTTTTCGCAGAGGATCTATAAAGAAGACACTAGCAGCTACAGTTGATACAGGGCCACAAATGGAATCGCTATCCAAGATCTCCAGATCGGACTTGGTCAACGCACGCGATGCTCCCCAGTCACATCACAAGAGTCTGCCCCAACGGCTCTCAGTTCTAATTATGACAGATTTCTGCCTCCTTTCCAGAGTATTAGCCATCGAATACACCGCCAAAGATACAAGACAACGCGGGTCCCTCCATCAGGGGCGAAATCCTCTAAAGCCTACCATCAAAAAACAAAGTCACGATGCCTACCCGGACAAAGTCAAAGAGTACTTCGTTGAAAAAAACCTAACCACTAAATGGCATCATTGCTCAGGGGGAACTGGTCAAGGCCACGAACGGTCATTATATAGCCATGTGCTTACCAAAAGATTTCTCCTAAAAAAGCTAGCGTGGAAGTCACGACGGGTGCCCCAGCTTGGGCATCACCAATGATCAAGGAAACGTTCATCTCAGTCTTGACACGCTCATGCAATTAATAAGAGTTGAACTAAACCAACCACCCACGCGCCAGGATGTAACTTCGAATCCGAGGCTCTTACAACGACGATGAATGCTGAGGAAATCCGTCGCGCCAGGCTCATTTCACTTCACATACGACCAATCATATCCTCGCAGGAACAACTTGCTTTAAATTGTCCTCGAGTATCTCTCACCCTTCTCTTTCTCCCCGTCTTCTCACCCACAACCAACAACTGCAGGGAATAACGCTTGACTCCCTCTACTAACCGAGTAAGAACCCTCATCCAAGTGGAAACAACACAAAATAGAACCATGTATCGATGACAAAAATAGGTTGCCGTCGTCCATTCTAAAAGAAGCCTTCCCTCCCACGCCATCATCGTCCTCCGCTTTTGACGCAAGCGCCCGGCCAAAACATTGCCCTGTCCAGAGACAAGAAGCCGCCATCGATGAAAGGGCTGCAAAAGAATTTGAGTCGAGTCACTCTGGTATCGATCTTTAATCAAACATGCTCTCCCTCGAGGAGTGACCGAGATGGGACGGCGTCGCGTTGTCGAATCATGGAATTTCGGATCTCCTGTTGCTCTTCCAAAAGTCAATGGCTTCGACAACGTCCTCTCCCTTCTCGTCTTCATACGCGAAAATGATCTGCGTAGCTGTGTCAGTAACGTTTTTTGGAGGTAGACAATAGTCAGACTTACCTCGTGGGTACTGCTATGCAGCATCCTAATGTTTCTATGCGGCACAATGTGCACAGCGCCAGTCTCAATGTTTCTGAGCTCAATGAAGTTTTGCTCAAATGCCAAAATCCACGGATAACTGAGGGCAAAGCTCTGCGGTGTGCCCTCCCAGTCGATACGCCACTCCGGTCTCGCACGCCAACCGTTACGGTTGACGAAGAAGGAAAACTCAGAGTAATTGAGCAAGAACTCGCCATTGAGACGCTCAATGTGAATTGGCTTGACGTTCTCCTTGCGGGCGACAAAGTCGAGACTGGTGTCGGCCTGGTCGAGGAGTGACTGCGTCTCAAGGGTCTCGAGGGACACAACCTCAAATCCACGGGCGCATGCCACGCACAATTTGGACTTGAGGAAGTGCACAGATGACGATTCCGTGGGGATGTAGAACTCCTTAAATGGCTTAAGCTCATCCTGGCCGGCGAACATCTTTCCGAAACCCTTTTGCTTCTTGCCCTTGGACATTGCGTCATTGGGCTCGTAGACTTTGATGGTGGTTGACAGGGCTGACGACTTGACGCAGCACACAAGATGCCTGCCAAGGCAAATGCCCGTCTTGAAGAAGTTGCAGTGACTTTGAATCTTCTTTGGCCTCTTCGAGAGGGCAGGCTCGTCGGGATTGAGCGCACCGAGAGGGTACGAGTAGAGAGCCTTGTTCGAAAGAACCAAAAGGAGACCGTACTCTTCCAGAACGTCCAGTTGGGTGACGCTTGTCGTCTCGATGACTCGCTTCGGAATGGCCTCCTTACTCTTACGATCTGACAAGTAAATACCGTTGTCAGTGCCGTACAACAACTTTCGGCCACCATCGTAGGGAGTAACACAGTTGACCTGGTTAGTGCCAACGAAGAATCCTGCAGAGATGACGCTTGTGTTAAAGAAGTCGGCGCGGGCTCTCAGCTTCTGTTGAGCAGTGTCGATGAACTCCAGCCACTTCTTACGTGCCGCTTGGTTTGAAGCATACAACGTCAGCTCATAGCCGGCCTTACCCAAATGCCTAAACGTGATGGGCCAGCCTTCTCCCTTCTTGCTGTCATTTGTGTTGGCCCGAAGCGCTGGTAGCAAGCTAGACGACGAACGCTTCATGCCACCAGAACCGGGTATGACTTCCTCCATTTCTCGAATGGCAAGGAGTTCCAAGGGGATGGGCTGTTCCAGGTTAGCTTAATCTCCAATCCGGTATGTATAATGCTCACCCTTCTGTACGCCTTGATTTCCTCCCCCTTGCCCGCTTGTTTGATTCTCACCAACAGCACCGCGTGGTCGAACAAGAAAGCCGTGATCTCAGACGCGTCTTGCGGTGTCTTCTTCAGCTGACTCTTGAACACCAACTCGCGACCTTCCTCCGTCAGTCTCAGATCTACCCTCTCGTTCGGTCTGAAGCGCAATTGCTCATGCAACCTTCTCAGGTTGAATCTGTTCTCTGCCTTTCCTGATTCGGCATTGACTCTGCTCAAGAGGTCGCGAATCAATTTGAGCACCTTTGGAATGTCTTCCTTGTCCGAGTTACCGTCCTCGGTGTACTTGAGCACGTTCTCCAGCAGCAACGGGTAACGAGCCAAACGCGTCGTCGGCTTGGTGAGATAACCGTTGAGTTCCAGCTTTCGCGACTCTTTCCTTCGCTCGATCTCGTCCACGAATTTGGCAAAGTATGGGTTCGATGAACGCTCATTCTCAAACTCAAACTTGGCCTCCAGCTGCTTGGAACCATACCAAATAAAAGGTTCAAATTGAGGGACCCATTCGAGGAAGATGTCTCCGACGTTACCGACGACAGGATGTTTGTTTTGTCTCTCCGTCAACGACTTGGCGAATCGCGAGCTCACCTGGTGAAGACTAGGATGGTCGACAATGTTGCTGAAAATAGCCTTGACAACCTTTTCTCTCTTGGCCGCAGGAATAGGGGAAGCCTTGGAGCGCAGAGGAAGAATCCAGAAGTCGCGGAGATACTCCAAATCCTTGACAAAGTCTCTTTCGGTGTAGCAAATTTCCGAAATAACCTCTTGTCTCTTCTTTTCCCTGTCACCAACGCTCTCGGCGATCTCCTTCGGCACGGAGTTGATCCAGAGCTTCTGTTCGTCTGTCTGATCGATGTCATCTTCGTTCGTGGCGGCCTCAGCTTCCTTCTTCAGGCCGGGCTGAATCTTCAGGTTCAATCGGGACACTTGCTCCAGTCTGCGGGGGCAGGCAATAGAGTAGCAAAGCTGGTCTCTCGTGCAGGTGGGAGAGTAACATTCAGAGAGGAGGACGAAGACACCGTTGACAGGGACCTTTTCTTCAGGCTCTTCCATCATGGTTTCTCGGAACTGGTACATTTCTGATGTAGAGTCGCGCAAGCGGTGTTCGTAAGTGACGTCGTGGAAGAACTTTTGGGCATCGAGCGCTCGTCCCAGTAGCAAGGCCAGGTTTCTGTCGGTCGTCCTGATAATATATGACAAAACATCTACCGCCTCGGCACCGCTGAAGGCGTTCTTATACGTGAGCTCGTTCTTCGTTCTGTCGCCTGTGATGATCTTCTGTCGGAAACAGTCTGCTACTCTCGACAGCAGCGCAGGGTATACCAGAGGAGGTCGGATCTTGGCCGTCGGTGGCCGTTCACTGCCGTCGATAGACTTGCTCATGGAGGGCCTATGTGCCAGCGTTGCGGCGTCGGAATCAGAGGGAGTTATCGTGGGCGCGATGGTGGACGCCATTGACATGGTCCTCTGTGAATCTCCATTGGAGGAGGCCATGCTCACCGTCCTCGTCTGAGACCCTGGCGCTGGTGTGTAGCCTCCTCCAAAGCTGCCATTGGTCGCCGGCAGCTCCACCGGTGCTCTTCTGTTCGGAATGACTCGGCCGCTCATCGTCTGGTGCGAGTTTTGGTGTTGATGCAAGTCGCGATCTTGCGGAGGGTATCCAGTCATTGACATGGCTCGATCATCGTGGCGTTCGGGAACGACCCGTCCTTGCGCCGTAGTTCGGGCCGAACTCGGGT